TATTACATACATATATATATTTTTTTTTAAATGCTTATTATATAATCTACTTTCTTTTCCTTCTCTTTGCAGGCCCGTCTTGCCACAGCAATAAAGAGCAACAGCAACAATAGCAAAGAGCTACAAAGCACTGCCATCTAAAAACTGCAATTGCAACAATTACAAATACAAATACAACAAGAAACCCGACAACAACAGCAACAGCAACTAACAATTCAATTGCGCAATATATAAAGACATATATAGATATATATTTAAAAAATATACTAGAAATACTAGAGAAAAAAGAAAATTTTACAAACTCAACAGCTGCGTACACTTGAGAATATGATATAAAATAATAATTTACAAGACGCTTAAACACGGAAAAAATGCACTAAACAAAAAACAGCAAATAAAAAGGAAGAAAAGAAAAGCAAAGAAAAGCCGAAGCTGAAGTGGAAAAACTTTAACTGTAAGAGAATAACCAAACACACACAGAGACTCTTTGGGTTGTAAAGACAAACAAAGAAAGCAAAGTTGGAAAAAAGAAGAAGACAAAGAAGAAAAACAACAACACAACAACAATATAATAATATTGCAAACAATAAAGCATATACTCGCCATATATTGAAAGAGAAGAGCAGAAAGAAGAAAAAAGCAAGTTGGGAGATTTTTTGTAAAATTAAGAGTTATTAAGCAGCAACAGAAAAAAGAAAATAGAGCTAGAGACAATGTAAGCCAGCAAGAAGGAAACGAAACTGACAGAGCCAAAGGAGTAGAGGAATAAAGCAGGAGAGAGACGGAGAGAGAAAGAGGATTAAAGTAAAATATACGCGCCTCGTCAACAGCAAACACCGAAGAGACTATGAAAAATGCGCAACTGAAGCTGAGTGAAGTTGATGATGAAGAGCTGTGGCTGCAGCAGCAGCAGCAGCAGCAGAAACAGCAGCAGCAACAGCAGCAGCAACAGCAACTAGCTTTTAGATTAGCACACARCAACAACAGCAACAGCAACAACCAACTTACTCAACAGCAACTAAAGAGCTTAAGTACAAAACACCATAGTAACAGCAACGGCAACAACAACAACAACAACAGCGGCAGCAGCAGCAGCAGCATCACCACAGCATTAGCAACAACAAAAAAACAGCATGTAGTTTTATATAATGCAAGAGCTTTGCAGGAGCAACAGCAACAGCAACAGCTAGACAGCAACATGTTGTCGGCGGCCAAAGGCGGCAGCAATCAAGCAACATACCCAAACATAAGACTGTGCGCACGCAAGCGGCAAAGATTACGTCGGCGGCGAAAAAGAAAACAACTAACAACACCAGCAACAGCAGCAACAACACTCAGCAATAGCAACAGCAACGGCAACAGCAACAGCAATCAAAGCAGCAACAGTGAGAGCAACAGCATCAATTCATTTCATGGCCTGTGGCCAATTAGCGTTGGCATAGCATTGCAACTGTTGCTGCCAGCGTTGAGATTGTGGCAAATGCAGCTGCAGCTGCAACAGCGTGCAGCAATATTGCTACGAGCGTTTGCTGGCACAACCACCGCCATTATTTCCTATCTAGTGCAGCTGCTAAGCAATTGCAGACGTAGCAGCAGCAACAGCACAAGCGCCAGCAGCAGTAGCAGCAACAGCAGCAGCAACAACAACAGCAGCAGTAGCAACAGTTGCAGCGGTACACATCTAATCAACGGACTAAATAAACACTCATGGATATTTTTACTGATATATTTGAATTTATCTGCTAAAGGTAAGTGAGACTCAACAACAATTAAACACTTAACAATAATCTTAGACAAGTGCAAGCACTTGTGCTACAACAACAACAGCAACGGCAGCAACAACATTGCCTCTTTAGTGTGTTTTGTTGGTGTCGCAACCACTTGGCAACAACTGTTGCCGCACAAGCTGTCATATTGTTTAGCTGCATGCCAGCAACAGCAACAACAACAGCGGCGGCGGCAACTTCATAATGCACGCCGGCAACATATTGTCACTTTGACACATAAAACCACTCAAGGGTGGGCGCAATCTCATCTGTTTCTCTCTCCTTACTTTTATTTTATTTATTTTTTTTTTGTGTGTTCCGTGGGGGCGTTTGTTAGTTGTGACATTTACGACAGCTTCAAGTGAAGCATGCCGGCAACAACAACAGCAGCAGCTGAAAGAGGCCCGACCTCAGTCTCAGAGACAACCTCAGTCGCAGCCGCAGCCTCCTCGGTCGCCTGGCTGTCTATGGCACTTGAAAGCGTCTGCGCCTAGGGCTGAATTTTCCTTTTTTTTTTACTGCTGCCGGTTTTGTTGTTGTTGCTGTTGCCACACAAAGACAGCAGTTGAGCGGTTGCCACCTGAATGAATTGTGTAGACAGTTTAAAACGCTCAAAAGTATGCTCGGTATAAATATAATCCTCAAACAAAAGGTAAACGAAGCGCTTGGGAATTTAAAATTAATTGTGAGTGTATTGCGGGGAAAGAAGAGGAAGAATGGAAGAGTTACTATATCCAGAATTTTCAGAAAACAAATTTATTTAGGGTAAATCAATTTTAACACTAAAAATATGTGCAAATTAAATCGAATATAAAGAGAAATATTTCGATAGATAATGAGCAAGATATATAAGAAGAGGCAGAGAGATGGGCAGAGAAAGTGAGATAGAGAGGAAGAGTTTGAAAGGCGTAGGAAATAAAATATAATATGTGAGGTCCAATATTCTTTTTAATCGATTACCTGGAAGCGAAAGTAGTTATCGATTATTTGATATGTGTATGCTTTATAGGTGGCTCTAAAGGAAAAAGTCGAGGTTTCATGGATTAAGCTCTTCATTTTGATCAAATATATATATAATTTCTTTTGAAAGGTCCTCCCTCTACCTTTCACACGAATTTTATCAAAATAATGATACGCTAAATTTCTATTTTATATAGAACTTCATAGTTTCCAAAATAAATATAAAACAGTACTTACCATAAGATTTAAATGTAATTTTAGGTAAGATTGGAAAACTCTCTCTGCATGTCAGATATCACCCTTTCCTATTTTAGATGTATACATAAATAAAATAGCCAAGTAATTTAGCTGGTGGACAAAAACGTATTATGTTTCACTTTATGAAATACCCACAAAGTAAATCAAATTGAAAATATGCAAATATTTTCTGCTCGGCTGCTTGTTCGCAGTTTATGTTGCACAGTGTTGTGTGTGACGCTTAGCTGCAACAATTTAGCATGACACCAAATACTTTTAGCAAATATTTTACCATGCCAGAGAGAGAGAGAGAGAGAGACAGAGAGAGAGGCAGAGCGAGAGAGGGAGGGAGGGTGGGGGATAGCTCCACCAGAGATGCCTTTGGCTTTTCCATTTGCATTTTGCGTTGCAAATTTTCGTGTGCAGTTTGGCAAAAATCCTTTTTAATGGGTTTTACTACATTTTTTTTTTGTTTTGTTAGCAGCTTAGAAATTCTGTGCGCTGACAACAATAATTTTAATGTAGGCGGAGGCGGCTAGGCTGACAGGCATAGCAGCAGGGGCAGAGGCAGCAGCAGGAGAGGCAGCTGCAGCAGCTTATTGGTTGCCTGCCGGCTTCCAGCTGCCTGCCACTTACATATATTGAGCTTATTAATGGGCACAGTGCGGCTTAGGTGTTGTTGAGCAGCGGCGCAGGGGCATGCAGCAATGGCACAGTGTAGCTCAGTGTGTGTGTGTGTGTGTTGATTTGTGCCCAGGCGGAATAAGTCGTTGAGCTTTGCGTGTCGCGGCTGTTGCCAGCTATGAAAACACTTATATGATATATGCACACACACACATTTGTGTGCATGTGTGTGTATGTGTGAGTGTATTGTAAACGTCTTTGGCTCTGCAGTCAAAGTAGCTGTTGTGTCTGTCTGTTTTGGTGCCCACAGTTCATGTTTCATGCAGCAGCAGCAGCAGCAACTGTCGCTGTCCATGTGCGTGTGTGCATGTTTATGATTTTATGGCAGCACTTCCGTTTCCGTTATGCCATATTGTGCGGCCATATGTGTGAGTCTCTCTGCCGCTCTCTCTTCCTCTTCCTCTGCCTCTGCCTCTCCCTCTTCCTCTTTCGCCCTTTCTCTGTGTGCGTGTATGCCCCTTGGCATACGATAATCAGATTTAAACTTTGCGCTACGTCAACGTCGCTGCATATGCAGAACTGTTTGTCGACATGTGTGTGTGTGTATGTGTGTTTGTGCGGCAGCTGCCCTATGACATCGTTCATACGCCCCGTTGGCCAGCCAAGTGGCACTGTTATGACGTTTATTGCTACGGAAAGCTTTTTGGCATGCTTCAAGACTTCAACAACGATGCGAAACCTCAAGACTTTCAGACTTTCTGACTTCTTCCTCTTTCGCTTGGCCATTTGACAGCCAAATAAAAGCGACCAAGTTGATTTTAATAACTTCTATTTGGCTTGTTGTTTTTGTTGCCACTCACTAACGAGCTGCAGCAGAAAATGTGACGCAGAGAAAGAGATGGCTAGAGAGGCAGAGTCTAAAAGTATAAGCAAATTGCAGGCTTAAAAAAGTGTATGTATGTAGATGTATGTATATAAAGAAAGTTAAGAAATACTTAAACATGTCACATGTGTGACATGTGGGTGGAAAGGGTTTGACAGCAGAAAGAAATGTTGGAAAATAAACGGCACTGAGGCATGTGGATAATTTAATAATTGATAGAGAGCAAGACGAGAAGAAGCATTTATGAGGTTGGAGAAAATTATTGATTGTCGCCTTGAAAAAATATGTTGCATAATCTATAATAAGATAAATATTATTTATTATACAAGCTGATGGAACTTGTATTGAAATATAAAGAAATTTAAATATAAATATAAATTTTTTTAAAATATGTAATGCTTAAAGTTTTTATATTGCCTTTAATATTATTTGAAGAATAATTTATGTTATTATTTATTGTGTGTAAAATATCACAGCAAATAAAATGTGCACCTCGGCTTAATCCGCATTGATTGACCATAGCTTCCAAATAATAGTTGACTTTTTGATATTTTACGCTATGCTCCCAATCTCAGAAGTTGCCTTCGGTTTTGTTCGTTATTGTTTTCTTTGTAGAGTCTCGAATTTAACTATTCGTGTGACGCTCATTCAACGAATATCGTTTATAGAGTGATGTGATTCGTTCTCAATTCACGTAAGATATTAAAGTGTTCAGCGAACACCGCCTTCGTATACATACCAATACATACACGAAAAACTTTTTCTTAACCCAAGCAGATAATCGAAGAAAAACCAGAGCGAAAAAAAAACAAAGAAAAAAGCTCGATGAAGAACCGAATCCATCGATTGCTCTCTGATTTCTTTTTTTTTTTTTTTTGCAGAGTATGAGAAATCCGCTATTCTTCTAATTATAAACATGCTGCCAGCTAACATTCTTCAAGCCATTTTTAACTCTCTCTTACATTAGTCCTTCATACATATATTATACATTAGGCTACATATACATAAGCATATGCATAGACATATTTATATACACAATTCTTATGTATTTCAACTGTCATTCGGCTGTTAGCTCTATCAATCTATATGCGCCTACGTCTCATCTTCGGTTTCCTTTATATGTCATATGCTTTTTTCCATCTTTTTTTTCTTTCTTTCCATCATTAGCTAAAGGCTTACACAAGAAAGAAAAACAGAATATCATGCAAGCCTTTAACATCTGCACACTCACTCACATGTGTGTATATATAGGCCCATCGTGCTGCACAAATAACTTACACACACCAGCATACATGCCTGAGTCTCTCCCTTAGTTGCTATACAATGAAAGCGCAACATTTTTTATTTTTGCTGCTGTGCTGAAATCAATCATCAAATATGATAGCATTCATAATTTGAATAGTGGACGTAGGCGTTTGATTGATGGGCCAGGCCACGCCCCGGATGTCAGACGGCCTCCACTCAACGCTAAACGGTATTTGCTGACACGCCTACCCACCGCCCTATTCGATTTGTAACATTTTTTTTTCTGTTGAGTTTGGCTGCGACTCAGGTATCATTTATAGGGATAAGAAGAAGAAGAAGGAGAAGAAGAAGAAGATAAAGAAAACACACAGAGAGCTAGTCATAAGCAATTAAATACTCTAGTCTTTTTGCTGCTGTATTCAATTAGGGTGCAGCTCTGTGTGTGTGTGTGTGTGAGTGTGTGTGCTTGGGGTTATCCTAGGCTGTCTGTTGAAATTTTTATTGCATAAATTAAGCTTTGAATGGTTAAGCGTCACCTTGGCGCTATTAAAATGCTCAGCATCCAGTTGGCTCTCAGTCGTTCTCTCTCTCTTTCTCTGTTTTTATTTATATCCTTCTCCCTCCCTCTCTCACTTAGTCTTTTTCTCTGTGCATTGCGCTCGAACCCATTAGCAGGTGTCGCTGTCCTGCTGTGCTCAGCATTGCTTTTAGCCACATGGCTGCTCAGACAGGCCATCAAGTCTAACGAGTCGCGCGCTGTGACCTCTCACCCGGCTGCCCCCCACCGTCATCTGATGCTCGCCTCCACATTCCCCTTAACCTTTGGCTCACTCCTTTTGTATCGGTTTTTAGTAGCTTAAGTGGTTTGGCGCCGCGTCAGTTTTCATTTCGCTTTCAATTTTTAATATCGACAGACAGCGGGAGTGCCAAATGGCGGAACTGTTAGCTCTTTGTGAGAGTACCCTCAACGGATGGAGTTTATTGACTTTAGGATGAAATGTCTAATGTATGAAATGGACATTGAGTATATATT